GGATCTTGAATTGCAAAGGTCACTTGACTCTTTGGCTGAAACTACCGTTATCAGTTGATATAGGTATTAGGTTTACAACCTTAACTTATGGGATAGAATAAAAAAGATCGGTTGCCGGTTGGGATGTCAACGCCATAGATATATACAACAACTAGATAGCCGTCTCCTTTTTGTCATCGAAGTCGACCCCCCATTTACAAAGCAGGCAATGTTTACAAAATAATATTATCATAGTATATATGTATATAAATAAATGTAAACATTGCCTGCTTTATAAATGGCGGCCGATTTCAACATTGGTCACAACTGTAATATAAAGACGGCTATCTAGTTGTTGTATATATCTATGGCGATGACATCCCAACCGGGAATTCGGGGGAGGGGGGGGCAAAAGGAGCAGTTGCTCCAGGTGGCAGGGACGGCCAAATAATTAAGAGTGGCAAAAAAATGTCGTTTGTAATATAATAGCCGCTGGGGCACCGAACTGCCAGAATTATACGATATTGCCACCTACCATTTATTGCAGTACTGCAGTGGCGTCCGCAGGGGGGGGGGCTAAAGGGCTAAAGCCCCCCCCCATTACCCGTATTATTATTACTTTTTCAAAAAAATATTAATCAAGTTAAACTCTCAACTATAATAAGCAAGACGTAAATTTCAAATATGTCTTACCAGAATGAATTCATTTTTGAAAAAACATTGTATTTGTAACATACCAATTTTCATAAATTATCTGTAATTTTTCGGTAAAAGTATGAACTATTTGTAGAAAGACCTTGTATTAAATTGTCTAGCCTTAGCTATACACATTTAATATTTTATAAGTTTTGAGCTACAAATTAACTGTGGTTTTGACGAAATTTGATCTTTAAATGCTTATACAAAATAAGCATGATACCTATGTATCGTTAATATTTTAGTTATAATAAAAAAACTTACGTATTACATTTTTTTTGACCGGATAAATAATATTTTATTGACATTTATAGAAAACAAAAATTTAATTATTCAAATACAATCCAAGTGAAGACGATATAACCAAACATTTAAATACATTTTAATTTTTTTTTCTCAAATTATTTTTAAAAGCACTGAGCATTTTCAATTTCAACCTCCTAATAGTAGGTACCAACTAGATCCAATTTGCTTCCAAAAACATACACTGAGCATCGGAGCTTATGATCAGAGCATTTTTTCTACCAGAAAAGTTGAAAAGTTACAAACATTTTAAAATACCTCAAATAAACGTCTGAAATTATTAGACTGGACAAAATGAAAAGAAAATTGTAACTAATTTTCAAGCCCCTCCCATTGAAAAATCCTGCGGACGCCACTGCAGTACTGACTACTGAGACTATGTAGCTTGTTATTCGATTATATTTATGTTTGCTCCCCCATACATTGTCCCTTAATACGGCCCTGTATATCTATGGTCAGCGCATTATTTGCTTTCCATCTTTGATCCACACGTAGCATACCTAATGTACATAGGCGTGCGCAGACCTTGCTGGCAGGGGGGGCAGAATGTAATAATGTACGTATAGGTATATTATATAATATATAGGTAAGTAAATATTATTTTGGTTATTAGTTCAATTAATGTAAGTGATGGAAGTATTTTCATTTTATGTATCATTAAAACTACAAATAACTACAAATTTAATATAGTAATTGAAACTCCAAAGTTTTTTTATATTATATTAATATACATGAACAAAGAAAATTATTACATTCATACAGTGGTGGATCCAGGGGGATGGAAAAGGGGGCATTTGCCCCCCCCCAATAACCGTAGTTTTCCTTTGTTTTACACTGTGTTTAGCCAATTTTGGAACTTTCATATACTTTTGAGCCCCCCATGCCCCTCCCAAAATTAAGCCCTGGATCCGCCACTGCATTCATATATATTTTTATGCCCGATGTGTTGGTGAAATCTGAATTTACTAATTCTACTTACTATTTATTTACAATTACAAAAAAAGTAAGTAAGATAGGTAAATTATTATTTGCACCAACACGTTGAACATATAAATATCAACATTTAAAAAAAAATGTAAATCCTTAGTATGATTTTTCCAAAAATAGTACCACTATTATATCATGCATTAATGTATCAATAATATTCTATTCTTTGGTAATATTGAAATTTATACATTATTGTAGGCATGTAACCTATTATTTAAACTGTTTTATAAATTATACTTTATAGGTATTTAATAGTATTAGGTATATAATAAACAATTTGATTTGTAGGTTACAGTATAAATAGAAAATTAATTTCAATATAAAACACCACATTAAAAAAAAGATAGGTATATTCTGATTTAATCAACACGTTGAGCATAAAAATACTAAAATACTAAAAATTCCGAAAATTGCTTCGGAAGTAAAGAGCTATAATATTTGTTCGTATACTGCATACTAATTATTATAATTATTAATTACTAATTATTTAAAGAACCGACCTTCTTAGCGCTTCCGGTGAACGTTTTTCGCATTAAATGCCGTCAAATTACTACTCACTTTCATGTCTCATCACATCTCAATCTACATCATGCTATAATAAGATTACAAGCACTCGTTATCACCGCGGTATCGCTTGTGGTTCGCTTAAAGTTGGACAACATAAAATCATCGTGCACTGTACATCGAGCACTCAATGTTTACATAATATTCATTATATAAAACTGTATTATAATATTTTTTTAAAAACTTTGTTATTTTGTAAGAAAACTTGAGCCCGCAGGAGGGGCAGCTGCCCACCCTGCCCCTCCCGTGCGCACGCCTATGCTAATGTACGAATAACAGAACCAAAACGAAGTTGTTACTTTTAACGTTAGATTAAAAATATTAAGTTAAGAAAATTACATACGTCGTTACGTTGGTTACTTGATGATATTTTAATTATTATATAAGTTATGACTAATGATCGTCTAAATAATTACAATTTAAAAATGATTATAAACGATTAGACAAATCTAAAGAAAAAAAAATTATAATTAATCTACTAAAAAATAAAAATATCTATATATTCATTATTAATACTTAAAGTATATGCAATACGAAAAAAATAAATGAAAACTAAAATGTTATCCCAGGAGAAAATTAATTCAACAATGAAAGGGTTAAAATATTCAAGTTTGATAATAGGCTAATTCAATTTAATATTAAAAGTAACAACACTAACCCAGTGATTTTTGATAGGTAAGGCGATCATTATTAGCCGAAAAATAAAATAGTTCACTAATCATATAAGTAACTAATTTTCGTTTTTAATAATATTTAAATTATATACAAGAATAATTTAATAATATTATATTATACGATTTTTTACAATTATATAATATATTCAACATAAAAAAATTCTATTTTATTAAAAAGTAAAGAAAATCTAAATTTTTTTGGTATTCAATTTTGAACAGTAAAGCAAAAAAAATATTTGTGTTTGGGAGTTTAGGTTGGCCTATCAACTATAAATTACTTATAAATATATATTTATGCCTGTACGAAATTAAGTCCTTGAACCAGCTCTGGTATTTTTATATAAATAAAGAAATCGCTACATGAGAAATGCAATGTTATAAAAATTTGAATTTCAAATTCTCATAAAAATTTAATTTGACTTTCTTATAGACATTTAAAGGTAGATAATCTTATAAGGAATCTTGTATTACATTTTAAAATCTTAGATTTAAAAAGAAAAAGGTTTTACGAATTCTTAACTCAAAATAATTTGCTAATTTTCGTGATTTTTCCATATTTTGTCAATTTTTGAACCTTAAATGCTTATAAAAAAAAACTGGGACTAAGCATTTTGAATATTTTTCATTTGCCTTTGAAACAATATACTAGGAAGTAGGAGCCTTCTATTAAATGTTCAAGATTTTTTAACCAACAAATAAAATGTTATTGATATTTTTAGAAGAAAAAACTGAACAAAAATGGAGGATGAAAATGTCCCTAAACAGTTCAAAATAAATCAAAATATTTTGAAAATGTTATCGTTTATAGTAAATGCAAATATAAACAACCAGTGAAAATTTAATTTATCTACAATCGTTTATTAAAGTTACACCACAAACCAAATTCGATTTTGCTTAAAAATTCCCGTTTTTCCTTAATTTTTCTTGGCGCTTTTGAAAATTACTGAGAATTTTAAATTTTGACTTCCCCAGACCCCAATGCACCAATGATATATTCACTTTCCAATCGAACAAGATACTGAAGTTGAAAATCGAAGCATTATTTTGACTACTATTATTGTGTATACAAACACAACAATAAAAAAATAAAATAATATAAAACACACATCATTGTAAAATCAATACATTCATCGTTCCACTCAGAATCTAAAAAACCAAATAAATTGAAATTTGAAATTGGTATTTTGTACTAGTGTGGTACTAGTATTTTGTAGCTCATATTTTTGCAATTGCAAGGAATAAACTTTTTGGTGTTTGATTGCATTATGCCCCTCCCTGATAAATTTTCTGCGGTCGCCCATGGCGCCATCTATAAAGTGGAATTATTACCGGCTACCGATATAATATTATTATTTATTATGGATATTATATTTTAAATATCTATAGGCAGAAGGCACAAAATAAATTAAATTAGATGACAACCACAGATATATGTTTTATATTATGTCTGTGATCACGACATGACGTATTCTCTAATTTTGTATAATAATTTATAATATTTATAATATAGTATATAATTTTTTTTTTATCAATATTTTACTACGTTATCATATTGCCGTATGATGTTTGATAGTGATAGTGTATTGATTGTCGGCCGATGCCCGAAGAATGTTTTTTTTCTATTATTCAGTAAACACTAAACTGGTTATAGCCTTACCCCTTAGGATAATAATATTATTGGAAATTTGAATATTATTATTATTATGTTTGAATTCTATTACGATTTTATAATGAAATAGTGTTTGTATGTTTTATGGATTAAAGAAAATTCGATCACACGGCAATTGATCATTGAAAATGAAGATGGCTGAATCAGTAAAGAAACTATTAAAACGAAACAAACCAGGAACAAAAGCCAATGTGAGTAGTGTTATTCTTTAAATTTGTGTAACTTATATTTGAATACTGTTTTTAGTTCTTCCGTAAATGGCCTGACGAACCGTTTGAAGAGATGGAAAGTACATTAGCTGTTCAAGAGTTTATTCAGCAACAAATACGTATAGATCCGAGTAATATTGATATCATATTGACACCGCCAGATTCTCAAGAAGAAGGAGTTTGGAAATATGAACACCTAAGGTAACAAATAATTTACTGTGTCTTAATGAACATTTTTAATTCTAATTGAATGCATTTGTAGGCAGTTTTGTATGGAATTAAATGGGCTAGCGGTTGAATTGCAAACTGAATGTTTACCCGATACATGTAGCCAAATGACATCAACTGAACAGTGGATATTTTTATGTGCTGCTCATAAAACTCCCAAGGAATGTCCTGCTATTGATTACACCCGCCACACTTTAGATGGAGCTGCTTGTTTATTAAACAGCAACAAATATTTTCCTAGCAGGTATATCTTATACAAAATATTATAATATTATCATGCATTTTATAAATCAGTAGTTTTGTAAAATTATCTGTTCACAAAAATACCTATTATCATAGACATATAGAACACCTAGATAGCAGACTATAATTTGTTAATGAAGCCGCGTCCCCATTCCATCCACTGTATTCCTAAAAGGCAATGTTTACACTTTTATATAATAACAATGATAAATATGATAAAATGTAAACATCGCCGTTTAGGCAAATGGCGACTACCTCAAAACATTGCATGGCTGTTGTATAGTTGTAGTCGGCTATCTAGTTGTTCTATATATCTATGCCAATTATACTCTAGTATCACCTGTTAATAGAATCATGAGATAAGCTTATGATCATGTTTATTCATTTAATTTTCACTCTATACCTAATTTTTTTATAATTATATTAAGTTTTACTTTACTAAATTTTACTTAATAGTATTTTGTTATTGTGTTTTCTAAATTAAAATTTTTATTTTTTTATACCAACATCGAGAACAACATTAAAAATTATTACTGAGCTTATTAGCTTGTTTAAATATATATATATAAACAAATAACTAAAATGTGTATAGGTATCTATATATTTGTTGTCTGTGCTAATATAACTAAGGTTGGGCATTAATGAGTTACTAAGTTAAAGTTAAGTTATTTTTTTTTTAATTATTAACTTAAAGAGTTAAATTTTTTTCCATGTTATGCATTAACCTATAAGTTAATTCATTTTATTTTCATCTCAAGTTAATTTTTTTCCTAAAACAAATATTGAAAATAATATACTCTATTTTGTAAAAATTAAGTTTATAAAATAATAATAATAATAATGGTTATAATAATACATATTCAGAAAATATATTATAATAAATTATATTATAAACAGAAAAGTTATAGGGGTAACCAATAATTACATAATTGAGAATTGAAAAATATAACTAAGTATTATTTACCCCAGTATCCTACAAACATTTCAATGTTTGCTTATGCAAATGCTTATGCTAATGTATACTTATTCATTACTCATTAATCATTAACTATTAATTAATAGTTATTACTTATTGTTATTCTATTAACTTAAAGAATTACAGCTAAATTGAATAATATTTGATTTTATATTTGTTGTTAGTTAATTATATTCTAATAATGAATTAAACTATTATAAATAATATAGTTGTAGACCATTAGGTAAACAAATACATAAAAACAATTTAATTATTTTGTTTGATTCTATCATTGATTAACGTATTAAAGTATAATATTAGTACTTATAGCAATTCATTTTAGTATATCATTAAATGTAAAAAAAATAAAAGTAACTTTAAACTTAAATTACATTTTTCTATAATAGCTTAACTTAAAGAATTAAAAAAATTATATTACCTAAATTTGCTCAGCCTTGAATATAATATACCCCTCCCGACTTTATTTAAGGAGGAATAATCTATAGATCTTTAAGCTTTAACCAGGTTTAATTAAAAAGAAAAACATTATGGTAAACTTTCTAGTTTCTATCTTTTAAATGATTATTGAGGATGTTAGCACACTGTTTGTTTTCTCTCTTTGACCCACGCTCAACATAGACAAAACACATTGACTCAGAATCATTTTTTAGGTTTTTGAGTAATTTTAAAGTAAAAACACCCATTCCAAAACTATAGGGAATATTTTTGAGGGTATGACATATCAATTTGTCTAAATATATTATTGTCTCAAAACTATTTAAACATCATTTGTTTTTAACATTTTATTTTTTTTCAATACATAGCCAAATAACAATAAAATATAAAATCTATATGTCATACCCTCAAAAATATTATCTCTTTAATTTTTGTAATAGGTGATTTTATTCAAGATTCTCAAAATCACAAAAAAATATATTATGTGAAAGCGTTTTATCTGTTAGCGGGTTTGGTAGGAGAGATAACAAATATTGCGCAGACATACTCTTAATGTTGAGTTATTTTCTAAAAATTAAATTTATTTTTTATTTTTATGCATTTAAAACTGACATTTGAAAGAAGAAGTTTGTTTTTAACCTTGTCACCTCATTTTTAAAGTACATAGTACAATTATTGATCAGAGTTGTTAGTTGAAAAATAATTAAATAATATGTATCAATTAACAATTGAGAGGCCTAATTAATACCTGATTATTTTAAATAATAATTATAATTCAAAGGAAAGTAAATAATGAAACACAATTAGATATTATATACTTAAGTTTTATTATCAAGCATCAAAGCTTACATTAAAATATTTTAACTTAAAAATTTCATAAAATAAATTGTAAAAATATAATATTTATCTAATACAATTTTATTATTTTAAAGTATTATTATTTATTCTAGAGTTAATATTAAAGAATCATCGGTGGCGAAATTGGGATCTGTTTGTCGGCGAGTGTATAGGATATTTTCCCATGCATACTACCATCATCAAAACATTTATAATAAATTTGAGGTAAAGTATTCAAAATATAAAATTTGTATGTCCTTAAAGTACAGTTACAGATACAATATGTATCAATAATTACATGAGAGGTTTTAATTGTGTAAAATAATACAATATTACAGAATGAAACATACTTATGCCAGAGGTTTACAAAATTTGTGATTAAATACAGCTTAATGGCAAAAGAAAACCTGATTGTGCCTATGCCTGATGCAATTATGCAAGGTATACGAACCGAAGAGGATGGAACAACATCAATTAAAGAGCCATAACTTAACCTTCCTTAGTACCGCGGTAATCGTTTTTTTCAAATGTTCTGCGAGGCACTGGCCTATTAACATGATCTGATACCTTGTCAGCTCCCTGGTATCTAAAATTAAAATACTCTAATTAATTAATTTTATGCATACAGTAAATTATACATTTATACTCTTAAATAGGAAACATTATAAAATCTATTTTTTTTTAAATTCATCTATTTTTTTTTTTTGTCAGTTAGACAATTAACTAATAACTATTTATTATATTAGATTATTGTAGGCTTACCCAGGTAAACTAGGATGAAGGTGATTTTTGGATAAAAGAATATGAATTGAAGGTAGTCTTCTTGTTGTAATTGTTTGAGATACTTTACCATCAATCATCTCATCCTTGATCATCCTTACACTGTAAGTAAATATATTACTATTTATAAAACATCCCCCAAAATTAGTTACATTTTAACTTTTTAACAAAAAAATATATTTGTAAACTTACAATAAAAATGTAAATGTTAAGTATACTAAACAATTTGTAGTATTCTAGTATTTATTTTGTAATGGTGCCATAAACCACAATTTACAGTGAAAATTCAATTTATAATTATATTTAAAAAACAATCACATTACTATCGTTTTTTATTTGTATACATAGGAAACTATACTTATAAGTTATAACAATAAATATGATTACTTATCTTGTATGGTTTGAAGTTGTTTATCTAAATATTTAACTTACTTTCTATATCCAATACCGGTAACTTGTTTAAGTTCAGGCATCTGTCGTTTCAATATTTCCGCACACGTTACAGCTTTGTTAACTGATGGGCCACTGGCACTACAAACTAGATGATTAGAGTGTTCAAAACTTTTTACTGCAAAACCAAGCATGTTTCGGATTTTGGAATGATTATTAACTTGTAAATGTTCAAAATTGTCTGGTAAATTGTCAATTGTAATCAAGGAACGTGTCCATCGTTCTTCCTGGTATACACATTTAGGTTTCACAGTTTCCACTGTAAAATATAAGTTCCAATAAAATTTATATATTTAAAAATGTCTGTTTTAATAGAAGTAAAAATATTCAATTACATAATAATACAATAAAATTGTTAAGTTTAATAGTTTTGTTAATTTAGTCAGTTTCATCACAATTCTGAGGATATTTTTGTTTTATGGTATATAACAAATATAGAACATAGTGACAGCAAAAATCAATATCCACAGATAAATTACTCGAGATTTTACAATTTTTGTATAAAACTAGTGACTTTTAAAAGTGATTCGTAACAAATTGAAGATTATTTCCTCCAAAACAATAGATTAATAACATTTAAAACACATAAATTGTATAAAAATAATACTTAAGTAAATAAAAATATTTTAGCATTCACAGCAACCATAATACCATTCTTATTTCCTTATACGCATTTTTATATGCATCAGTCGGACCCAGATTGGGGCAGAACAAGTTATTATTTACATCAATATAATATGTATACAGGGTGTCCCGTGAGGATTTACTCATTAGCCGTAGAGGGGGACTCGCCGCCCGGACAAAAACCAGTTTATTGACGTTTTACTAATAAACTAAAAAAATTATTAAAAATCATGAGATTAATGAAAATAAAATGTTAAAAACTCAAAATGTTCACAAAAATATACTCTATAGAATGGCTATCTTCAATTTTTTCAAAAATAAAAAAATAAAAAAATAATTTTTTTAACTTTTTTACTAAAAAATTTAATTTAATTAAAAAATAAAATATTTGTAGTGCTTACCTCTGCGAGTCTTAATAAAAAAACATAATTACGATATCTCCATTATTTCAGGAGATATCGCAATGAGTAAATCCTCACGGGACACCCTGTATATATATTTTTATCATTAAATACAATATATTTTCAAAAATATTTACACATTTGAATTAATATTATTTGGTTGGTAAAATAATGAAATCTAGATGGGCCAAAATTTTTTAATCAAGATCAATGTAGTTGTGTTTTCTACAGGGTAAATTATATCAGCAGTGCCATTTGAGTTTTTTTATAGCGGTGTCCAAATGTAAGCAGGCCATTTTTTTCAGCATATTAATTAATAAATTAAGTATTAGCGGTGTATGTATGGGGTGAAGGGTTACATATTTTATATTTTAATGAACTAAAATTATAAATTAATACATTTTTTCACCTTTTGATGTACATATAAAAATAATATATTAGGTAAATTTAACTAATACAATATATTCTGTATAGGTATAATTCATATAAAATATATTTTATATTTTATTTATTAAATAAATATAAAACATATAATATACATAACATATATGTACATAAACATAACATTGTATTTAATAGTCAATACCTTAATTTTTTTTTTAGAAAGTAATACCTATTATGTTACATTGATCATTTATATTATTTAAGTGAAGATAACATTTAATTACAATAGCATAGATAAAATGTCATTCTAATTTCTACTTTTCATTTTAGTAAATCAATATACTATTTCATACAAGTGTATTTTGTTAGCGTACCTATCCTTTTTGTATAGTTATTATAATTTATAACCATTAGTCACTCAATTTTGCATCTTCCATAGATAATCTAGGATAAAATATTTTTCTATTAAGAGATGAAAAAAATAAAAAAATTCTTTCATTAAACGCAGTACCAACTGGAATAATTTGAAGTATCTTGAATGTTTCTGAAGGAGGTTTTGGAAGTTATTTGAGTATAATATCAATAGTTTAATTAAAATCTGGTTGTAAAATATTTTTATCTTGAAGTAAACGCAAATTACATTTTTAGCTCATTAATTAAAAAATATTAGTAGTGATTAAAAAAAACATTTTAAGGTTTTAATATAAATATTCTGCATTGTAATAAATTATAATCAATTACTTGGAAAATATTTCTCACATAGGTACAAAGTATATATATATATATATATACAGGGTGTCCCGTGAGGATTTACCTACTAGCCGTAGAGGGGGACTCGTCGCGCGGACAAAAACCGGTTTTTTGCCGCTTTACTTATTAATTAAAAAAATTATTAAAAATCAGGAAATTAATGAAATTAAAATGTTGAAACGTCAATATTTTCAGAAAAATGAACTCTACAAAATGGCAATCTTCAATATTTTTTTAAATAAATAATTAAAAAAATAATTTTTTTAATTTTTTTACCAAAACATTAAAAAAAAATAAAAATTAGATATTTGTAGTGCTTACCTCTGTGAGTCTTAATAAGAAAACAGAATTACGATATCTCTATTATTTCAGGAGATATCGCAATGAGTAAATCCTCACGGGACACCCTGTATATATATATTATACGCATTGTAGTTATTTTATCGTTTAAACATAGGTGTCAATAGTGTCATCACTTTCATCACATAGGTTTGTAAATTTCATGACAAGCCAATAAAACACAGAAAAAAATCGAGGTCCCAATGTATACCCTGCCATCCCATCCTAAATGGCACCTCTGAATTATACCCATTGGTATACTGCTTAAAATAGATATATTTAGAAGGAATGCTAGTTTGATATGGAAAACAATTTCGAACTAAATATTTAATTTTATTTTTAGCATTTGAAAGTACATATATTTACTTGACTTATTAGAGAAATTAAATTTAGTATGAGCACAATACCAATAATAACATTAATTTGTTTAAATAAATAATAAGTATTCAAATAGGAACTTACCCATGGGCCATGGACGACTTAACTATAGTCTATAGGCAATAATTATTGGGGTAAACTAAAACTTTTTTTTATGATATTGTATGGGTTAGAGTTTTAGACACTGAATATGTATAGTGGGTATAATAAAATATTACTTAACAGTTCGAGTATTTGCACTCTCTCTTGAGTATTAACTATTTGCAATGTTTTTTTAATGGGAAACCCGTAGAGTTGAATGGAAAACACCATATAGGTACAAATTTTCGTTCACCAGTTTTAATAGTGTGGTGTTAGTTTTGATATTGAAGTGAATTAACCTATTATCAAACTTTAAGACAATAACATTATCTGTGTTCTCGCGTTGGTTTTTACGATATCTTAATTGTATATAATATTTTACATACAACATACTCATAACTCACTTAAAAATTAAAATATTATAAAAAACCAACGAGAGAACACAGATAATGTTCTTGTTTAAAAGTTTGATAATAGGTCAATTTTGATATTAAAACCAACAGCACACTATTGAAACCGGTGAACGAAAATTTACTATATCGTACGTGTGTAAGACGGAGACAACATAATATCGTGTGCGACGTCCTCTTAATTTTCAATTTTCATCATATTTTAATCATACAAATATTAAATCCAGGCGCGGTTCTAGGACTACATTTTCGTATGGGCAACACTAGATTTATAATTAGGTTTTAACTGCGAATAATATTCCTCATTTTCTCCCGCTTCCTGAATAAGGGGCACCAGAAATTTTGGTATGGGTAGTAGCCCATCCTGACCATACGCTAGAACCGCCACTGATTAAATCTATCCGAGATTCTAATATATTTCTTATACAATATTTAAGGAAATAGCAGTCCTGAAATATCATTGCTTTTGTTGATCTACTATGAAATAGAAAATTAAAAATGTATTACAGAACATGTGTTCAACAGTTCAACTTTTAATTTAGACATTCCTCGATCTTCAAGAGAAATGATCAATAGTTTCCACACCACACATCAGTATTTATAACATATTATATTTCTAGAAGGAAATATAAATCGAGCATAGGTAGAACATTTAAAATCTATTGTTATCTAATAAATCACGAGCAGGTATACCTAACATAACGAATACGTCGACGGATTTCGTACAGAATTTGTGCTCAAACTATAATATAGATGTGCAAGTGTGCAACGATAATACAGTTGAGCGCGCAGGCGACACAAATCTCACAAGCATGTGAACGAGAATCAATAGTTTAGGGCCCCCCGTCACTCGTTCAGGTTTATTATGGCCACAGGGACTTTTATGAGATAAAATGAAGAGCATTCCAGAGCAATCGTCGCATAGTCAACATTCCATCCGAGACCGACTACTAATAAAATATACCGATTATAATTTTCAAGTCTAACTTCAAACTTCTCGAAAAGCACAGTTAGATAAGGAGGTTTAAAAAAAAAATAAATGAATTCTTAAATAATTGTTTCGTAGCGATACATAGGTACTATTACAATTCATCTACATAAGGCAGCTTAGATACATTATGGTACTGAATCATAAAGTATTATTCTAATGGGTACAATATAACTTCTTCAATGACTTTTTTGTATGCGTTTTCTCATTTTCCTTTAACCATCCGTGGTGTAAACATTACAAGCGTCATATTAGAAAACGTTGATGGAAATTCCTTCACGATTTGCCCAATGAACCTTGACCTATATTACTATATATTAATATATATATATAAATACTTATACCGAATTAATCGTGATGGGTCTCCCGGTTGGTGGCATTATTTAGGACTATATTGACATATTAGTTGAAGGGATGGGATGAAAATATTGGGGTAATATAATATTATATGAATAATTTCAATGAACAATAACAATTAAAGCTTCCATATGTAATATAAATGAATAATAGTTATTTCAGATTAGAAATGTATATAAAATGTAAAAAATGCGATTATCATTGATTGCATAGCTATTAGCTATACGGATTTCAAAACAATATATTTTACAAAAAAAATTATATTTGTTCAACATGAATTGGAAAATAGATAGGTAAGTAGTAAATAATAGTAAAAATAAACTAAACATTTGAGTTTCCAAAGGCTTAACAATTTAAATTTATATTTAGAAAAAAGAAGTGCCGAGAGGAGACAGTCTTAAGAAAAAATAGGCACTTCATCA